GGGCTGAGATCGAGGAGACGCGCACCTGGCAGCCGGCAGGCCGCTTGGTGCCGACATCTGTCCCCGCCTGGCGGGATGCTTGGGAGACAGGGAGAGGAGAGAGCAGGATTCGAGTCTTTGCTTGGCTCCCCCATCCCCGATTTCTGAGCTCTGTGTTGTGGGTAGAAATGACATGGGAACCACAGAAGTCATTATTCCAGGGCGAAAACTGCAGATGGCAAACGTGTGTAAAGCAGATGTGCAGCAGAGGTTTCTCCCCAGCTAGTGCAAGGAACTATTTCCTTTTCTTCTTTTCCAGACATGTTTCCAGGTCTGTGTCTCCCACGGACAGGCTGGGAGCTGCAGAAATCGGCTTTATGCTGTTCCCTGCTCCATCTCCTGCAGAACCCCCTCCTCATCCAATTGGAGGTTTTTATAGAGGTCTGGCCTCAAATCTGGCCGAAAGGGGTGGGAATAGGGGTGGAGGAGAGATGCTTCTCCTAGTGTTATCACACTGGTCGTTTAATGTTCCTTTGCTCAGGTTTTCCACCCAAAACATTTATTTTGTTTGCTATTACATAATAAATGTCCTGTTCAAAGTGACTCTCTCAACCTGCTGCAGCTGTTAATGAGGGCTTTAAACCCATGAGATGCAGCCATACATGACTGTGGTCTCTCTTGGCAACCTCCTGCAGATCATCGAGAAGCGGCGCCGTGACCGCATCAACAGCAGCCTCTCCGAACTGCGGCGCCTGGTTCCCACGGCCTTCGAGAAGCAGGTGCGTGCGTCTCGCGAGCACCCACGGCCCTTGATGCCGCAGGTGGTGGCTTTTGCCCCTCTCATGTGGCCCGCACTGAACCGATGGCAGTTCAGCAAGAAGCCATATTCCAAATGGGACTTGAAAGCCTGGTCCAACCCATTCAAAGTAAAAATCCCCTGAAATCAAAGTCCTCTCTTCTGCAGAGGTGGCCCTTGCTCCTCTACATTCCCTACCAGTTTTTGAATGCATGTGTTTTTACCAAACCATGGCACTTTGGATTTAACCCTGGAGTCTCTTCCAAGCTCTGGCACGATTTGCTGGATTCTGCTTCCCAAAATCTCTCTTTAACCATGTTTAGAAAAATGATTATTCGGTGTTGACAGTACAAAAAGACTGCTGTGATTTCCACTTATCTCCCCACACTGGCTGCATTTCAGCAATGGAAGGGTAGAGAGCCTTCAGAATTAAAAAGTCTGTAGCAATGTTATGTTTTTCTTATCAGTATCACTTCAGGAAGCAAGTAGGTGATAAAATTGGGTGGTAAAACAATATTAACAAACATTCAGGAGCCCTAGGGAGAATAAACTCAATGTAGAAAGTGTTTTGAAACTGAAGATACACAGAAATGGGGATTTTCAATTTGCATTGGGGGATCTGGGGAAGGAGCTCCACTGTCTACTCTATTGAACATAAGCCAATGCCCGCATCCAGCCATGCGAACACTCCTGGGCTTCAGGAAGGTTCTGGGGAGAGGAACTCTGGGCAAAACCCTCCTGAAAGACACAAAACCCTAAACCATAAAATAACGGATTGCGCTTTTCTTCTTCTCAACACACAGGGGTCTTCCAAGTTGGAGAAGGCAGAAATCCTGCAAATGACAGTTGATCACTTAAAAATGCTTCATGCCACTGGAGGAACAGGTAAGATCTCCTCTTTGAAGCACACGTGTGAGCTCAAGGTGAAATCCTGGAGGGAAAATTCCCCATTGGCCTCAAAACAGTAAGGAATATCTTGCTGCTGGTGTGCCTTGCTAACTCCAGCAATCCCTAAAATGAATGTTGCCCTGTCTGCTTCAGAAGGGAAATCTTTCTCCCAGGAGGGCAGATGGACATTTTCTGTGCTGCTTTTTTTTTTTGAGTCTAACGTATGGGTCTGCATCCCATGCTTACGCTTTGGCAGACTGGGCTGTGTGGGATGGCGTGTCCCACGGACCCCCAGCGAGGACACCGGGAGCAGGGACAGCATCACTGCTGTTGCTGCACATCCCGCTAAAAGCTGCCCAGCCAGAGACACGCTTAGTTCCGCTCAGAAATGGAGCCTGCTTCCGGAAAAATGGTGTTAAACTCTTTACCTCCTCCCTGGGATACATTTCCTGCAGAGGCTGAATTCTGCATGGGGATTCTGCAAATAAACAAGGCTTTTTTCCCTTTCGGTTCTTCTTTTTTGTCTCTTGGTTGTTATGAGAAGAGAGAGGGAGCCCTGTGCAAAACTCAACAAAGGTCTCATTTGTACTGAGACCTCAGTACAGACCCTCTGTCCTGTTCCAGTTAACAGGATGGAGATCACAGCTCCAGTAAAGAAGCCTCTGGCTTGCTTACCACCCATTTTTGGCTTGCTGGGGACATTGCTGGCATCCAGACTTTGGTTCAGAGCTGTAACTTGGTCTGGAACATTTGTTTAGATATTCAGTTTGACTGCACTGCAACAAAGGGCCGTATTGTCACGAGAGACCCCGCCAAGCAGAGTGGTCCAGCGCTTCGCTGTGCTGTGACATTCTCTGCTTTATTGCTTACTGTCTCATGAAGCTACAAGCAGGGAGTAGAAGCCTAAAAAATCAGCCGTTGGTTGCATTTTATCTCGCTGATTTTCTTCACGTGTTGTGGCTTTGAGCTTTCTCAGCCCAGCAGTCTTGGTTCTGCCGCTGCCCTGTGTCCTCCAGCCGGACATCTGTTTAAATGAAGCGTGAAGAACTGAGCTGAAGAGCGGGACCCGGGCACAGGAAAAGGGTGCTCAACTGCGCATTGAGGAGCAGAAACAATGCGTCCCGCTGTTCAGCAAGACCTGTAGGTGGTCCGTTCACAAAGACAGACCCAGTGCCCGTCTAGCCCCTGTCATGTTTCCTGCAACGATAACTGATAGAGTCCAACAGGAGCAATTTCTGCCTTCCTGAGCCTGGTTAACGAAACCTCTTACTCATCTCACATGCTGGAGTAAAAGGCTTCATGACCCTGGAAATTTTATCCTAATGAGATAACCACAGATGCTATTCTCATGCACGCAAACGTCCAGTCCTTTCGGACACCCACTTGGCTATCTGCTTCAGCAATATCACAGGGCAGCAAAGTGCCTCAAGTGAAATACACAGTGCATTAGAGAGGGTAGTGAAATCCAAGCACTTCCCTACAGGCTTCTTAGATGCCCGAGCTCTGGCTGTGGATTACAGGAGTATCGGCTTCCGCGAATGTCTCACTGAAGTTGTCAGGTACCTGGGTATCCTCGAGGGACAAAACACTGCCGACCCCATCCGGCTGCGACTCCTCTCCCACCTGAATAATTATGTAGCTGAAATGGAGCCTTCGCCTGTGGCCACTTCCCTCCTGCCCATCCAGACCTGGCCGTGGTCCTTCCTCCACAGTGCTGCCAGCCCCGTACAAATCCCCAGGAGGGAGGCTGCCCCCGCTCCAGTTGTTTTGACTGCATCCTCCCTGGCGTACCCAAGCCCCGCTGTGAGGCCGGCCCCCCTTCGCCGCGTTCCCGGTGACATGCTGCCGTCCCGCCGAAGCTTCCTGGCCACCAGAATGGCCTCTTCCAGCCGGAGGGCCCGAGCCACAGGCTCGTCCGCAGCCGTAGCAGCCATGCCCAGGATGCCATCGCCAACGGGCATGTTGAGAGAGGGCTCGTCCAAGAGTAGCCAAATTGCAACATTCCTCTTCTCACCGGCCTCCGCCGGCATCCCCGTTCCACCAGGTTACACAGCGCCTCCTGCCTTGGGCACGGCCGTGCAGGGACCCGGGATCAGGGTTGGGACATCCAGGATCTGCCGCTCCTGGGCTACTGAAATCGGGGCTTTCTGATCCTCCCCTTCCCTTCGGAGACAGCAAATCTTCAGCGCCTGCTGCCCACAGGCCTAAGAACAAACCCAGCTGAAAAGGCATCTTTCCTGCTTTGCAGAAGTCAAGGACCCATAAAGAAAATTCTCTTTACTCTTCCCTCCCTTCTCGCATTGCCTTCCTTCCCTCCCCATCACATCTCCTCCCCATCACGATGCCCGCAAGCATAAAACACCTCCAATTCACTGCACTTGCCTGCACGCAGCTGTACTCAAGGCCCTCCCGGCTACGAGGGAGGAGGTGCCTGCAGATCCCAAACCCTTCCCTCCTCCAGCAAACCCCCTCTGCGGAGCCTGACATTGCTCTTCTTTGGAAAATACCAGCCAGCCCTGAAATACCAGCTTATTTCCTTGGGGACTCAGAGCTCACAGACAGACACTTGCTCATGCTCGTTCCCCGGACGCGTCCCCTGGTGCAGCACATATTTTGGTGCGGTGGGATGCACCCAGCTCAAGCCCCGCTAGGACTGCTGGCAGCCGGCAAGGCAGGTGAGGGCCTCCCCGCTCCCTTAGCGAACTGGCTGCCTGCTAATCCCCATGCTTTACGCTGCATTACCAGCTTTTCCCACTTATGTGCCCTTAAGGGGGAGTCAGGCAACAGCTTAACAGAGTCAGCTCCCGTATCTGAGGGGAAATCTTGCTGCGCCCGCGTGTCTGCAGGGCCTGCGCTGGGATCCTGCACGAGTAACGCAAGGGTGGCCAGGCCCAGGCGGAGGGCAGCTTCTCCAGCCCCTGCTCCCCACCGCAGCGTGAAAAGGTGAGACAAGGCGAGACACTGGATTTCAAAGGGACGTCTGTCATGGAGGGGAAGGCTCCGAGGAAGTGAGAAGAGGGATGCCCTTCCCCTCTGTCAGGGTCCCTGCCGGAGCCGTCTCTCCTCCCTCCCCTGCTGAGTTGCGCCAGCCGGCATTCGAAGTGCCTCCCTCACCTTCTCTTAGCCCCCGAGTCTCCTCCCACAGTGTCTCCGTTTTCTTTCTTTGGCAACATGTTTTGATCTCGCACTGCTCGTTCCTCCTCTCCCTGGGCCAGAACCAAAACCCACTGATGTTTCACCTCAACAGGCTCTGGGTCTGCACTTGTCCAGATTCCTGAGGGCCTTTTCTGCCTTGGCCTGCGTGTTGCTAGACAACTGACACTGCCGACACTCCTCTGCTCCCGCCGACTGTCCTCCCAGCCCCTCTGCTTTGGACAGAAAGGAATAGGAACCTGAAGCCCTCGAGCCACCCTGCTCCTGCGCCATCTCCCCAGCTCCCATGGTGGTCAGGGCAGGGCTTCCCGCTGCTCGCCCTCCTCATCTGACCCGAATAACCCCCCACTCCCTGGATCTGTGCCTTTATTTGCTGGGATACATGCGCAGAGTAGTCTGGACCCAGTTGTATGCCCACCCTGAGGAGGCTCACCCAGCTCAGTAGCACTGTGACACGAAAGACAGAAAAGTGTAGAAAGGTCAGTGGAGAGAAAGGTAAAGAAGAGGGAGAAGCTCTCTCTCGAATGGGAGAAGCTCTCCCCACGCCTCGGGTCAAACAAGCAGCCGGTTAGTCTGTGCGGATGAGCTGGTGGTTACATTCCTCCAGATTGTATCTGCCCAACGCATGTTAATGTATGTGTCTGCTATGGTTTGGAAAGTGAGTTCCTCCCAGTTGTTTTGATGAACACCGTCGCACTTAACACACAGCAATGCCTCTGCTACTTCTCCTTACCCTGTCCCGAAGTGTCAGAGTCAGTCAGGAACAACCCATTCCCATTTAATGAAGTCAAGAGGAAGGTCCCTGCGGACTGGTTGTTCCTGAGGCTGGTCTGCGCACTAGAGCTCACAGCAAGTAGCCTGGCCTCACTTTACACTGTGCAGAGCTGTTAGATTCACAAGCTGTGACATCCAGCAAAGGTGTCAAATAAAGTCTTTCAAACCCATGCCCTGGCTGTGAAATGTACTGTTGGTGTGAGTCTATCTTGCTGCAGATGGCCCAATCTGGCCTGTTTAGATGACTGCTACTTTTGCAGCAGATAAGCTTTTGTTGCCAAAAAGGCTTCAAAACAGGTAGATAAGATTAAGCTTGGAAGATATCATCCCTGCTGGTCATGTTATAGCTACCGTTCTTGGTAACTCTGGTCCCATGATTTTTTATTTTGCAAACCATTACATGAGCCAAAATCAGCCAGTGGGATGCTCAGCAACGCTCATCCTAGGATTCGCAATAGTCCATGGCTTGAGAATAAATCATTTCATTTAATTACCAACGTCCACAAATGTGTCAGAGAACTAATCAGTCCAGCAGAGCTTCATAGCCAGGCTCTTAGGGCTGGCCGTGGTCTCCTGACCCTTTGCAAGCAGCACCATAATAACCCCTGCTGCTTCTTCCTGTTGGAAAACCCTTCGGACTAAACAAAGAGCGACAGCTGAGAGCTTGTCTCTGTTTTGAGGAAAGGACCAGTAAGTGATACTGGCAGTGAAAGACGCTGGGAGAATTTTCTGGGTAATGGTGGGAATTTGACTTCCTTTCCCATAACTCCTTTTCATTCCAAAATGCCTTTCAAAACCGCCCATAAATCCCTGCCTTAAGTACTATGTTGGGAATTGCTGGAAGGGAGCAACTGCAGCTGTGATGGAATAACACAGTGTAAGTCTGGAAGTGGAGAGAAACTTCAAGAGCAATAATAGGACTATTGACAACGGGTCGTCCCTCTGGTGCCCGGGCTGCTCCAAAGCGTCTGGAGGGGTTGGTAGGAGTTCAGGGCTCTCGTGTGGCCTCCGCTGGAGAGAGGAACAAAATTGCCCTTCTGTGGGAGGCAGGCATATAAACCAGCCCTGGAGGCTACAGTGGCAAAACAAAACAGAGACAGTGAAAAAAACCACTTCCTGATCTGGGCTGATCAAACAGAAGCGGGAGCTGGTGGGAGGGCATCGGTTCAGCCCCATGGGGTTTTCTCCCCACAGCAACATGGTGATTAGCACAGTAGCCCGGGACTGGAGCTTCATTTTTTTCCCAGGGTTTTCCTTAGCCTAAATGTCTCTCATAACACATCCTGGCTACTTTTGATCTACCCTGTAGGGGAAATCCCAAACTCTCCAAGCACTCTGTTCATCCTCATTCTTCAGGCAAAAGCATAATGAGAAGGCCTATGGGAACGCGTGGGCTGCATTCAGTCCAGCTGGGCTGTGCTCTGTGGCACACAGCGGCATTAAACACCTTGCCCGCGCTCCAGCTCTGACGGGGGCAATGCTGAAACAAAACAGTGTCCTAATTGACGAGGCTTAGCCTGCTCTTCAGGGAGACAAACCCACCTTCACGCCGTAGGAGAGACGTTTTGCTATGCAGCAGGTGCTCTAGCAGTGAGTAAGCTCTGCTCCTCCAAATTCCCCTGCACGAAAACTGTTGCTTATCTGAGTTCCCCTATGGCTTTGGGTGAAATGGTCTCCCTTCTGCGGTTCTGCACTCCCGGCTGCATTTTTTTGGCCTGTGGTGTAATCCCGGCCTGCCCTCTACTGGTAAAATCCCAAAGCTGAGGCGAAATCCTAAAGCAGGGTTAGCATTTGGTTGAAAACTTGCCCATCCCTGTTGAAAAACAGATGATCTCTTACTGATGTTACTGATTACCCCTAGGAACTGAGGGACCGTTCAAACGCATGGTGACAGAGCCACCTGGGAAAACCACTGGGCAACAGCTCTCACACTACCCTGACCAATGCAGACCGGGAAAATAAAAAACATTAAAAGATGTAACCTTTGCTCCAGGCACCACTAAAGGTCTTGAGAGGACAAACCGGGAGGATCTATGGTGTCCCTGGTCACCAGGGTCCAGCTGCCCTTGTGTATTTGGGAGGAGCAAGAGTGGTGGGATCCCTCTGACAGTCTTGGGCTCTCTTGGGCAGAGCGTACCCCAGTCTGTCAGTTCATATCGGGAATGAAAACGATTGATGTCTTGGAGGACGCGGGACTTCAGTTTAGTGTGCAAGCAGTGTCCTCGCAGGAAGGGACGCAAATGTCAATAAATATGGTTCTAATAAAAGCGGTTCTCAGTGTAGCCACAGCAGCTGCCTGCAGCCAAAGGGAGTTTTATGTGGAAATATATTCCTTGAACTCTGCTGTGTTTTGACTTTAACTGTCAAAAGGGAAGCCACCCTGAATTCGTCCCACAGCAAGAAATTCATCTGAGCCCACTGCTTTTCCGGTTTAACTGACTCACGAGCGCAGGGCTGTGGAGGACTCGAGCTTCGCAGCAAAGGGAGACACTGAGTGCTTCCCGACCTGTCCACACGAGTGTTGCCTCCACGCATCAGTCCTCGGCAGCTGCTGGGAGGAAGACGATGAGCTCAGGAGGAGGGAGAGTTGAGTCTCTAGAAAAGAATCAGGACTGAAAATATTGTAAAATAGGGATTATCATTACTGTTTTGCTAGTGTTTCCTTTTATTCTGCTACTGTCAATTATTCCATTGTAGTGAAGGGATAGGTTTACAGCTGTGTAGCATTTTGAAAGACAATCCAAGGTGATGCCATGTATAACTGCAAAGTCACAGCTGATCAGCTACCAGACTCTGTAAACTATGTTAGTCCCCCTTAAAAGGATGTCTGTAATGCCTGAAGGTCAATGAATCACCGACTCTCGTGCCGCTGCGTCCTCCTGCTCCATTGAAGACGCTGGAAATAGATCATTACGGGGCTTCCTGGCATCGCATCTCATGAGCGTGAAGCCACGGGACGGCAAAGGGGAGCGAATCCTTCTCCTGTTCCCGCCGCTTTCTTCTTCATGCAGCGGCGTTCAGCCCTC